TGGGGTGGCAGTAGGGTATCCAGGGAAGGGATGGATTCCAAAGATATTCTAGAGCATCCCTTTGTGCCTGTCTGAATGGTGGCAGTGAGGGGGAGGAAAAAGTGTAGGATGAGTCCAGGTTCTGCACTTGGTCCTTCCTGTATATGTAGGTGGAGAAATAAGGTTTTGGAGGTCAGATAATAGTTCACTTTTTCACATGTTTAGTTTGAGGAGCCTGCAGGATGGTAGGTAGAAAAAAGTGGGGGAAGGCTTGTCCTAGTCTAGATCTTTTTGAATTGCTTTGTGACCTCCTTGGGGAACCTGAGGCAAAATTGAAGATAGATTATTCTGAGCCATCCACTTCTCCTGTGTAGCACAGGAGGCAGGTGGGAAGTGTTGCCAGGGAGGCTATTGTCCAGAAAGAATGCATGAAGACAACCCTCCATCCTGAATTTTTCTGCTTCAGATGGGGACCTCTGTAAAGCACTCCCATTCCCAAAGTCCCAGGGACAGACAGACAAATATACTGTGAACCAAGGAGACTCTGCTGTGCTGGGATGGTCATTCTAGATGTCTGTGTCTTGGCTAAGCGTCTGAGTCCCGCTGAGCTGGCCCTATAGACATCCCATCTATGCCCTGCCCAAGCTGTTTCCCCTTCTTCGAGGATCAGATCCCCCTCAATCCACTGCTTCCAGGAATGAGAGCCAACACCTGTTTCCTTTCCTCCTGACCTGTGCTCTTGAGCAATTATGATAAAGTCTCTCCCCACTCCCCACTATACACTGCCCTGTGCTGTCCCTTCACTGTCCATCATGGCTTCCCTGCCTGCAGACTATAAATCCGCTGGGATAGGACTTGTCACCACTGTAGGGCACAAAGCACATGACTGACTCTTGATGAAGGGAAGGAAAGTAAGTTCCTCTAGATCTGTTCAGTGCCACCTACAGCCTCCTACGTGAGTCCTGCTGCAAGGGTCCTGGCTTCCCCAGCCCAGGGACACCTCTCCCTGGGATGTTTCTTCCCCAGGTTGCTGGGCCAAGTGGGGGCTACTCATCCTGAGACTTGTGTGGCTAGACCCAGACTGGACAAGGCTGGACAGGGCCTGACAGGGCAGAGGGGAGCAGCGTAGATTGGTCCAGAGGTCCCTGGAGGTCATTAGGAACCAGACAGCTGGCTTCTTTGCTGCCATCCATAGGAGCAGTTAGCAATCACACAGATACAGTGGCTAGCAAACACACTCAGAAACACACATGCATGTAGACTCGAGGTTGCTTGCATGTGTTCACAAATATCCACACCCATGCACCACCACCCCTACACACACACATCACACACACATTTAAGTTTGACTACAGCACTTAAATTTAAGGGGACAAATCCTGGTTCCTCTCCTAATAGCTACGTGTCCTCAGATAAATTACTTAATCTCTTTGCGTCTTAATTTATCTGTAAAAATGAGGATAATAATGGCATACTCTTCAATAAATTGTGAAGATTAAATGAGAGTAAAATGGAAAAGAGCTTAAAACAGTGGCAACACGTGCAGAGACACACGTGTATTCATACATATTCCCCAAGTCTTCTCCAGTACTGCTGCTGTCACTTGCTGGTGAGCCTGGCGCAGCACGAGGTTGAAGTCCCTTCATCCCTCCGAGTCTGAGTTTTCTCGTCTGTAAAATGGTAATAATATTATCTACCTGGTGGAGGTGTTGTGAAGATCTAAAGAGGCCCAGCATAGAAAGCTCCTGGCCTAGACTCCAGCCCCAGAGGCCTCCCTTCATTTTAGCTGCTGCCGCCTACCCGCCCCTCCCCCGCCCCATGATGAAGAACTGATCCACAAGCAGGTGCAGCAGGGCATGCACCAAGGCAAAATCTGGACAGGCCAGACCCCCATCTCCTCCCAGGCTGGAGCTGGGCCCTGTGAGGACAGAGTCCAAGGGCTCCAGGCGTCAGGCCTGCTCCCCCTCTGGGAGCCTGGGCTGGCCCGCAGCCTGGCCTGGGGCTGGGGGCAGGGCCGGCCGGGTGGCCGTGGGTGGAAGGAAAAGAGGAAAACCAACTCTGTGGAAATTGCCCTGTGGTTGGCTCAGGCGCCCACGACGCTGTATTTATAGAGAGTTCCCAGCGGCTCTCAATTCCTCGCAGTCGAGTTAACCCTTTCTAGGCTGCGGTTCCAGCCGGGTGTCTGGGGAGAACACAGGACTGGGGTTGGACAGCCGGATTCGAGCCCTGCTCCGCCGCCAGCAGTCTGGAGGGTGGGAGTGATCGATGACCATTCACCTGTCCCCTCTTGCGGAAAAGAAAGGCTGGCTCTCGGCAGCACGCGAGCGGGGTGGGGGATGGGCCGCGAGTAACCAGCGCCCCTCCCGGAGCTCCGGGTTTCCCGGCCTGGGTCCGGCCTGGGGGCGGGCGGGGACGGGCCCGGTGCCCTGCCAGCGGGCGGGCTCAGGCCTTAGCCCCCAGCCGCCGCGGCGGGGCCAATCCGCCTCGGGGGCGCACCGGGCCGCCGCCTTCCGGGCCGCGGCGTTCTCCAGCCCGCCCCGCCCCTCGGGCTCCCGGCCGCCCCCGGCCCCCATTCGGGCTCGGCCTCGCTCGCCGCGGCCCGAGCCCCGGAGTCGGCGCGCGGTGAGTGCTTGCGTGGCGCGGGCGGGGCGGCCTTTGTCTGCGGCCAGGCCGGGCCGAGGAGCCGCGAGGCCGAACGGCGCTCCCGCCGCGGGCTGCTGGAGCCGGGCCCTCCGCAGCCGCGTCCGCGTCCCGGCCGGCCGCGGCGCACGTGAGCACGGGGGCGCGGGGCGGCCGCTGGGGCTCCGGCCCGGAGGAGCGGGGCGCCCGCACCGCCCGCCCGCAGCGCAGCCTCCGCTTCCCGGGCTGGGCGGGGGCTGCGGCTCCGTCCGCCCTGCAGACCCCGGCGGGCGCCGGCGGGCCCTGGGTGCGAGAGAGCGCTCGCGGAGGCCCCGGTGCGGAGCGGGGTGGGGGCGGGTCTGCCGCTGTGGGGGCGACTGTGAAGCCTAGCGAGGCAGGAGCCGGGGCTAGGAGGGACAGGGTCCCCCAGGAGGAGGACGCGCGCACCGCCAGCCCTGAGCAGGGCGCTGCGGGGAGGGCAGGGGAGGGGAGGGGAGGGCGAGAGGCCAGGTGGGTGCGCCCTGCCCGGCCCAGAGGGACGCAGGAGCGGGCGGCCGGGGCGTCCGCAGGCAGCAGTGAGCGTGCTGGGGACAGATTCTGGGAAGGGTGGTTAGGGTGGGGAGGCCGACCGAGGCCCAAGAAAATTAGAGGGTGAGGAGGCAGCCAGGATGGGGAGGTGGTGGGAGAGGAGGTGGGAGACGGAGTGGGGAGGTAGGAGCCAGGGTGGGGCACACTAGAGGGGAGGGAATTGAATCCCGGGGCTGCAGGCCCTCAGTCATTACTGTTTAGCTAGCAAATTGGCAGGTTTGGGAGCCTAAGGCAGGGGTTTTATTTCTAAGCCAAACCTGCCCTAATGAGAAATTCGTGATGGATGACTCAGATATGGAATCTGTCGCGGGGGGAAAGCACTGGGCAAATAGTAAAAGCAAAGATTTGTGTGTGGGGGGGAGGGGTTGACTTAATTGAGAAAAACTATTTACCTTCAAACTGGATGTGGATAATTGTAAATGAGTCTGATCTCTTCATTAAATTAAGGCCCCAGGTCCTTTTCTTACAAGCATATCTTTAGCAGTTAGTTTCTATATTAGAAAGTAATGAAGCTGTTTTGTCTTTAAGAGAGTTCTTTATTTAGTTCAGCGCCTCTCTAATTCCCTGTGGCCTCCCAGAAATCCCTAGGAAATCTGATTCTGGGCAGCCTTCCTTCTAGTCTGGGGGCCTGCAAATAGGAGGGGCACTTTTGGAGGCTGAGGGGAATTAGTCTAAACTTGAAATTGAAGTCTAAACCTGTCCAGTGGGTTGGGCTGATCCACGCCGGCGCAGGGGTGGAGGGCCGTGGGGCTGTGGGGTGTGAAGGGGTGACTATTTCCAGCTGGTTTGGAAACTGGAAGTATTTGGGGTGCGTAGGTTTCTCTGGAGTTCCCGGGCTTTAGCACTATCCTTGGGTTAACTGTTGACCATGGAAATTTACATATATCACAGTCAGCTTAGCAGAATGTCCCCATGTGAATGACATTTTCCTTCATGACTTCGAATCAGCCCTATGAACATCAGTTTTTGCACTGAGGGGTCACATGGCACAGAGACTCTTGAGGGACAGAGCTTTGCCTTGCGTTAAGTGGCCTCAGGGATGCTTTCATGGTCCCGTGGCTGACCTTTAGAGTTCTTCTGAGTCCTCTGGGCATGGCTGCTGGTTTCTCCTGCCTGCGGTAAGCTTTTCAGTTTACTCTTGACTCCTGTGGTGCGAGGAGTCAGACCCTGCAGCTGGTCGGAGGTGAGAAACCTGGGCGATGCGAGCCTCTGGTGGGAAGGGGTGTTGATGTTTGTTTGAGCACCCAGTTTTCCTCTCTGTCCCCATCCCTGTTCAGCTCTGCCCCAGCACCCAATGGAAGTAGGTTGGCCGAATGTCTCAGGTGCTCAGATAGCTGACTGCTGGGTTGGGTGCCTGAATGTTTATGGAAAGGACAGTTACAGAAGTGTTGTCCCTTCACAGCTGTCCTCTGGGGAGTCTCTGTCCTATTCTGGTGAGGTTGACTTCTGAACCTTTCTGTGGAACCCTCCCATCCTGAAACTTTCACCTTCTCTGGAGTAGGGAATCTTCATTCTTTGCAGTAGGATTTGGGTTTGACACAGAACTAGGTGACACTGTTTGGGGTTAGAGATGCAGTGCTGTGGGGCGCGGTGTTAACGCCATTGCAAGATGGCGCCGACTTCCTGGTCACACCCATACCACAAGACTGATAAACAGGGTGAACCGTGCAGGTGTAGGGGCTTTTTCCTGTCTCTCATCAAGTATGCTAATGAGGGCTCTTGCGTGAGCCAATCAGATTCTGCCTAATGTACTTAGTGCCTATATAAGCCCGCTCCGAGAGCTCCTCGGGGTCTTCCGCTTTAGTCACCTTCAGATTCCCCAATAAAGCGCTGTCAGAAGAACTCCGGTTGCCGCGTCTTCCTTGCTGGCGAGGCGGGCGCGACACAGTGCGATTAGAGAGCTGTGAGTTGGGGTTCTACAGCACACAGAGAGACTCCTAGAAAGTATTATAGAACAAATGTCTGGCCTGTCGTGGATGGTTCTTGGTTGGTCATACGGGGTTTGGGCTGTGTGCAGAAAAATGACCAAATCCAAGCAGCTTCCGAGATTATGACCACATGGGGCCACTGAGCTGTGGATCTGAGTCATGGGGTCAGGGGAAGAGGAAAAAATGGCAGGGAGGATGATGTCACTGCCCATAAACTTATCCTCTGAGTGGGTGGTGACTTCTCATTGCTGTCCTTTTCCCACATCCCCAGGGCGGGAGTGATAGGGAAGTCCATTAGCAAAAGGAGAAGGGTACAGACAGGGCATGGGGGAAGGGGAAAGGAGTGAGGACTGGTCCATGTGATCTTTGAGAAATATCCTTTAGTCTGTTGGCTCAGAATGGACCCCACACCTGGGAGAGGGCCACATGCAGTATTATGCAGCCCTTGCCTGCCGCCCCGTTCTGCCACCCTGCAGCGTGCCTGATAGGAGCGCGGGGCTTTTGGTTTTGGGGGTAGGCCTGTGCTGGATGCTTCATAGACATCGTGTCATTGAATCGTCATAGTCCTATGAGATAGAGAGTCCTCAGTACCACTGTGCAGATGGGGAAACTGAGATCTAGAAAGGGCAAGTCACAGCCAAAGACGCAGGCGGGCAAACCGTGGAGCCGGGCTGTTGTCTGCCTCCAGAACTGGCTCTCTCTGCCACTCTGGAGGCAGGAGCAGGTTTTACTTGTCATTCTAGAACCTGATTAAAGCATGCTAAGGGTCCCCACAGGGAGGCAGAAGGACTCTGGGGAGCTGGGGAGAGGGCAGGCCTCACCTGGGTGACCCTGAGACCAGTGGTCTTCACAGAGCGATTGCGGCCTTTGCCAAGAGTTCTTGCCCTTCCTTACACTGGTGCCTCCGGGGTCCCTCCAGATCTGGCCAGTGCTCCTGGCCAGCTGCCCCCATTCTCCATCATTCTCTTTGTGGACTGGAGAATGGAGGCCTTCTCCGCACCTCCGGTGTGGCGGGCGTTGGCCTTCCCTGGGCAGAGGGGGTGTGGGTGTCGGAGGGAATCCACAGGAACTGAGGCGAGAAGCGTTCTTTCTTGGCAGCCTTGGAACAGGGAGAGATACTATGTCTAGGAGGCAGGGGTTCCAGGTCACCCTAAAATTAATGCAGGCTCCTAGGAGCGCGCCCCACGCGGGAGACACTGGAATGTGTGTTTGTGGGGGAGGCCATGTGCCGGGCGGCACGGTTCCGGCAGGACTGGAGCCCAGGGTGCTGGAGCTGTCACCTGGCCTCTGGGAAGGGGAAGGAGGAGATGACCCCTGGAATGAGCCAGACCCAGTGATGGAGTCGAGTTGTGCAGTTGCTGCTTTGGAGCTGGGGGGCGGGCGCGGCTCTGGGTGGAAAGAGGGGCACAGAGAGTACTGGTCCGTGAGACCAGTGTATGGCCTCACAGAGGAACTCTGAGCCAGGGAGAGTGGGTGGGGGGAAATGGGAGGCCAGTGCAGAGGGGCCCAGGGGGCCTCGTCCCCATGCCTATGGCAGTAATAACGTTTTGGTGCTAGGCCCTTTCCTTTCTCTCTCTGCTGTCTTATTTTATTCTTACAGTAGCCCTGTGGGGTTGGGATTGTCACCCCCGTTTTGGAGATGTCTTAAACAGGTTACGTCATTTACACTTGGTCACATGTTTAGCAAGACTTCTGTGTCAGAATTTGAACCCAGGACTGCCTGCTCCTAGCCCATGCTGTGCCCTGGCAGGCAAGGTGGCCTGGGAGTTCCATGTAACAGTGGAGGGATCCAGGCCTGGGGGTGCTCATCAGCTGGCTCTTAGCATCTCTGCTGGTGACTAAGGACTTGAACAGCCAGCCTCACCTGTGTGGCTCAGATTCCCATCTGTACCATGGGCGTGGGGATTGGGACTGGACCAGCGGAGCTCCAAGAGGCCTACAAGCTCTGAGGACTGGCGGAGGCTGCTACACTCCGGAGAGAGAATCCCTGGGAGAGCCAGAGGGGTCTGGCGCGTAGGTGAGTGGGGCTGGCAGAGTTGCTCTGCTAGGTTAGGGTAGAAACCTAAAGGATTTGCAGGCAGGGAGGCGTTTAGGCAGAACTTGTCTAGAGAAAATGTGCTCTTCCTTCTGGAAAAGCTTGCGGAAAAGATGGGATTTAGGGACACATTTAGGTGGATGCTGGACAACAGAGGGTGAGCGAAGGCAGATGTGTACACCATGGGCTGCCAGTGATGACCTGAGGTCTGCCTCTGATCTGGTCTCGTGGGCTCTCATCCCTTCCCTTCCTGCCTCCATTCTCCTCGTTGCCATCCATTCTTCTTGCTGACCTCCTCTGAGCTCATCATAACTTTCACTTTTTTCAGGGCTCTGTGCCCCCCAGGGATGTGTGTGTATGCACGTGCACATGTATGTGCACCCATGTGCATGTACAGGTCGGCTTCTCAGACTGCACACGTCTCCAGTTCCAAGCAGAACTTGGCCCCACTCTGCTGGGCCGGCCCTGATGACACACTACTGTCCTGACTCACACAGAAATCACTTGGAGAGGAAGAATTGATTTCTTCTCTGGGGTGGGATCACGGGCTTGGGGAGTAGTGCCCAGCGCACAGTCTGGAACACAAAAGACTGACTCAGATTATCAGGAAAAAGAAAGGCCGCTCCCAGGGAACTCTGGAGACCTCTCATCTCTCTCCCCAGCCCCTCCCCTATTTATAGAGCTCCTAGTATTAATTAGGTCAGTTTAGATAATTTTACTCAGTTGAGTCCTATAATCATCTTGTGAAGGTAGGTTTTATAATCCCCATTTTATAAATGTGCAAACTGAGACTCAGAGGATATTTCCCTAAAGTCACATGACTAGGAAGTGGCAGAGTCTAGATTTGAACCTGTCTCTTCAATTCCAAAGTCATCTTAAACACTGGGGCTCACTTCCTCCATGAAGCCACTTGTGATTTCACTAGCCCAACATGTGATATGGTCATAGTGTGGGGTGGTGGCCAGGGCCCTTCTTTGACGTTTGAAGCGACAAAGACCTGGAGAGGGAAGGGCTTTGCTCTAGAGAGCCTCGCAAGTAGTAACAGAGCCTGGTCTAAAATCCATGTAGATCTTTGATGTTGCTGTTTTCCTTTTTTCTTTTGTTAATTGCAAAAGAATTACAGGTTCATTGTCAAAAACAGAAGTATATCAATTAGAAGTTGGTGGTAGACTCTTGCCCTCATTCCCACATTCCAGGGTTGGGTTCACTGTCAGGCTTCCAGGTCCTTTTCCCATACACAAATATCTATCTATCCCTCCATCTTTCTGTTTCTCTAAACACACTTGCACTCATTCATTTATTCATTCATCCATTCACTCAGCAGTGCACTGAGCACCTATTATATGTCAAGCCTGTGTTAGAATTAAAGATGCAGTAGTTAAGTAAAGCAGATGTGGTTTCTGCTTGGGGAAGTTCCAGTGTGACGCAGAGAAAACAGACTGGATGCACTGAAGGACAGGGAAGTCCTCAGAGTGGCAGATCTCTGACTTAACTTTTCTGCCAAGGTATAAAGGTGTTGCCCATTGCTTAGTCTGTTTTCTGCTGCTATAACAGAATACCACAGACTGGGTAATATAAAGAAAAGCAGTTTATTTGGCATCTGTTTCTGGAGACTGGGAGGTCCAGGGGCGTGGTGGTAGCATCTGGCAAGGACCTTCCCACTGCATTATCCATGGTGGAAGGGCAGGAAGCACAGGAGGCAGAAGATGAGGATGGAACTTACCTTCCTTACCCGGAACCGACTCCCTCAGTAACGAACCCACTCCTGTGATAATAGCATCAATCTCTTTACCTCTTAAAGGCCCTGCCTCCTAACACTGTTACAGTGCCAATTGAATTTCAGCATGAGTTTTGGAGGAGACATTCAAACCATAGCACCCATGTCATCCGGGGGGAAGGAACTGTGTTGGCAAAAACCCTGTGAAATAAGAGAGTTCTATGCTGTAGGAAGTGGAAGCAGCACACTGTGGTAAGGGGCAGGTGCGAGGAAGTGAGGCTGGAGAAACGGGCAGGGCCAGACCAGCCAGGGCCCTAAAGGACGTGGAGGAGCTGCGATCTTATCCCAAGGAAAGTGCACAGCCTTGGGGTTAACTAGTGAAGGTGGTGACATAATATAATTTATGTTTTTATGGCAGTTATTCTGGCTGCTATGTAGAGTATAGACTGGAGCACAGAATTGGGTGGGGGCACAAGAGAGAAAGTGGGCAGACCAGTGAAGAGGCTTCTGTAGTCATCCAGGCAAGAGATGATGGTGATGTGGAAGACCAGGGAGAGAAGCAGAGGTGGAGAGAAACAGAGAACGTGAAAATATGTCATATATTCAAGGACCCTTTCAGTTGCAGGTAATAGAAACCTAACTCAAACTAGCTCAAGGAAACCAAAAATGATTGGCTCATGTACCTGGACAGTCTGTGTGTGCAGCTAGCTTGAGGCACAGGGGCTTAAATGAGGTTTTTAGGACTCTGTATCCCTCTGGCTTTTATCTCTGCCCCTGTTTATTTGTTTGGATCAATTCTTTAGGTTGTTGGTAGCTGACAGAGTCATTGCTAACAGGCTCATATTATATCCTCCTTAGCAACCTCAGCAAGACAGAGTCATCGGGTGGTTCCAGCTGCAAAGCTCTGGGGAAGTCTCTGATTGGTTGGGGCTTGGCTCACCACCGCTCCTAAACCAATCACTGAGTGGGGGCGGGGCGGGGTTGCTCCAGTGAGTCAGGTCCCATGCGGGACTGAGGTTGAGTTGACAGCCCCCCCAGCTCCCGCAAGGACTGGTTCCCTGCAGAAAGGTGGAGCCCTGTAATCAGAAGGAGCCAGCCTGGAGCAAGAGAGGCAGGTGCACTCTGGAATAAATGGTGCAGAATAACTAGAGAACGTCAAGACTAGCTACCGAAGACAGATGAGATCTGCTAAGCATGTTTTTCTTCGTTGTCAGGGAAGATGCTAAGATGCTTAGAAGATGCTAAGATGCAATTGAAGTTCAGGCCAGGTAGGGAGGTGATTATCTGTTTTAACTGACTTTGTCTTCTAGCTCCAGGATTGCCTGTCCTGGTGCTGAGTGAATTTGGAGATAGTCTCTCTGAGGAGCTGTCAGGGTGGAAGGGGAATGGTAGTAGAGGTGTGGGTCACAGCCTTCCACAGTTTCCCACTGTGCACAGAATCAATCAAGGGTCCTTAGCCGAGTCCTCACTATCTCCCCTGCCTCACCTCCTTAGCCCCAGCCCTTCCTGGAGTCCCGTCTTCCCTGAATGTGCTGTGGACATTCACTCCTCCGTGACTTTGCTCGTGCCGTCCCCTCCTCCAGACAGCAGAGACGTCTCCTCGTCTATGCAGCCTTACTAGGCTCCCCACGCCCCAGTGAGTGTCTTGACCCTCCACTCCCACAATACCTCATCATAACATATTTTAATCATATTTATTTGTTTCCTAAATCCCTTTGCTATTTTTATTATGAAAAAGTGAGATTTTAAATATTTATGCTACTCAGAAGCTCTGTAACCTTGGGCAAGTTATTAAATCTCTCCATCCCTGTGAAATGGGATAATAATAATACCTACTTCACAGAATTGTTGGAAAGCTTAAAGGAGGTAACATGTGCAAAAGCACTTAGAACGGAGCATGGTACATAGCAGGCTTTCAACTATACTGGCTTTTGTTGTTTTTTTGAGATAAATAAAATAATATATATAACACAGGAAACTTTTAAAGCATAATAATAAACATACCACCCAATTTATGAACAAGAACATTTACAACTGAATGTTTATACTTATGTTTCTTCATCTTGATCTAGCACAGTGCAGCACAATGCCTGGTACAGAGACATTCAATGAGTAGGTATTTGTTGAGTGAATATATGAACTAATGCTGGAAGAATTAGCATGGGGAAATAACCAGTTTTATGGGAAAGAAGGTAGATTATGGGAACAACAGATTGGTGATATTGTCCTTAAGCCCCGACAAGGTTGGTCCAGGAACCAGTTATCAAGTGAGCAGTGGAAGAAGAGTGTGTCCGTCAGTGAAAGCAAGCATTGCTTCACCGAAGTTTTGCGGATGAGCGTATTTCCCTTCTTTCCCATTTGACCGGTCCCCAGCCAGAAGCAGTGAAGCCTCTCGTCACAGCCTTGGGGGTGTGATGGGCAGATGGGAGCTGGGCGGCCACACAAGCGGGAACACTCATGACCCCAAAGTGCTTAATGGTGGGCGGACATTGATCCGGGGGCAGACAGTGCTGTGAGACTCTCCTATTCCTGTTCCTGTCTTCTCTCTGAGGATTTGGATGACATACAACACCAAGCAGGGAGAGGAGAGTGACCTTTTGAATGATATTCATTCTTTCTTTAATCCACCAAAAAATTACTGAGCATCTATGCACCAGGAACTGTCAAAACAGTACTGCAAAAGATCATGGCGTGGTTAGATAGCATTGTAAATATAGTTAATGCCACTGAATTCCACACTTAAACGTGGTTAAAATGGTAAACTATGTTATGTATATTTTACCACAATTATAATAAAAAAAAATCATGGTAGTGGAGGGATGGACTCAGGTTAACAGAGTGAAATGCAATAGTAACAAAGGAAGCATCCTATAAAGCTTCACCCTGTCCTCAACTCCATTAGAAGAGGATGGCAGAAACATGGATCAGTAGCAATGAGTGTGAATAACTTCCGATCATGGTCACAGATTTGATAGTCTGTCACTTGGGGTTATTTTGGTGAACAGTGTGACCTGGCTGCCCATTGGTGACCTCACTGAGGAAGATGAAAGACTTGCAGGGCTGTTACAAAGAAGGGGGCAGACTGGTTCTGAATGGTCTAAGGCAGGCATCCTCAAACCATGGGCCACATGCAGGTGTTTTTGCCCCTTTGTTTTTTACTTCAAAATAAGGTATGTGCAGTGTGCATAGGAATTTGTTCATAGTTTTTTTAAAACTATAGTCCGGCCCTCCAACGGTCTGAGGAACAGTGAACTGGCCCCCTGTT